ATACTCTGATTAACTTTCCCATTTGGTACATAGACATTATGAATTTAAGTGCAGTACTATATTGCCGGCAAGGTCTCATCATTTTACAATCGAAATGGCAAGATATAACTGTAAGTTCTATGCTAATCGTTTCTTCTCTCGCACTTCTTGCTTGTGGAACTCTCTTCCGGCTTCTTTCTTTGCAGTCAACTTTTATCTCCAAAAATGTAAATCATTATCTTTTGTCTCCTTAATTCTGTTTCTTTTGTTGTTCTCTCTCCTTAATTTTTTTCTCGTGTTCTCTAACACTCACTAACCCCCTATGTCTTAGTGGCTTTATCGCCTTGCTTTTGGGAAAATGATTTTAAAAAAACGTGTAGAATGACGTGTTTACCGACTCATTTTTGTAAATATCTTAATTTCGGGACTCGCATTGATCTTCGGATTCATATTTCCAGTACAAAGAAAAACAATAATTTATCGCATTATTCGTTAGTTCTTCACAAAATACTTCTCCCCTTTCAATTTTATTTTCAAGATGATAGTATAAGGGCCGTCGCCATGATAGACGTGGTATGCCTAAGGATTAAATTCCCTAAAGACTTAATGGAGCACGTCTTGTTAGTTCGACATCATTTATTTTAATCTTTTGACTGTTTATTTACAAACAGTGTAACTAACGTCTTCCCGCCTAGATCATCAAAAGTCTTATTAAAGAAAAGGTATCTTTTGTCAGAAGTAATTTTGTTTTCTGGGAAACCTGTTTTTAGCTAGGCCTGCTTTTACCGGTTTGTCCTTACAGCAAAATAAAAGTGAATTAAAGTTTTTAAGAAATGTGGATCTTTCGTTAGGCCTTTTCGGTGTCTGTATTTGCTAAACAGTGAAGTTAATATCAACTGGCCTTGATCGAGAAGTGCTACTAAAGAAGAATGTGCCTCCCGACAGCAATTGAACCTGTATCATAGATTTAATTATTTAAAAAATATAAAAAGGAAGTCAACAGAAACCTATGTACCCGTTAAAAATAAGGTATATAATACAAAAATAATGTCAAAATATTAAAAAGAGCCATTTAAAATATTACTACATTTAAGTTTTGGGTACAAAACTAAAGCTTGCAGACATACATTCGATGTCCCAACGTGGGGTGTGCTTCCCTAAGTAGGTAATTGAGCCTTGATTTATTTATTTTTAATCTTTCACCACAAAACAAGGCGATAATGCCACTAACATGCAGGAGGTTACAAGGAGTGACAGTAAGAGAATAGACTTAATATTGGGAAGATTGAGAAAAGGACAAAAGACATTGAAAAATACATCCCTAACCCCTTACCAAATTGTAGCTAATAACTGATACAATGATACTGACATAATGAAAACCTAGACATCCCTTGTCCAATTGAAGTAGAATATTCTGTAACCATGGAAACGTGATTTAAGCTGTGTATTTAAAACCCAGTAATTTTTTAAAAGTTACTCCAAAATTCGCTTGAGGATGAAATGGAACTAATGCTTTTAATTTAATTGCAAAATTAAATTCGGGGCTTCTAGCTTCTATTTTTGAAACATGGTTAGAACTGTGTAGCGGAAAAAACCATATTTTAAATCAATTAATTTATTATATATATATATATATATATGACCATTGTCATCAACTAACCTTTAGTGGAATAAGAAATTTGCTCCCACCGAGTTGGTCTCTCCGAAACCAGGCTTCCTTTATCATTTTGAAAGGAAGAGAGAACGGATCGCTTTGATCCCAAACCGGAGTCCGGGAAAATATGGACCTGCTCCAATCATAGGTAAAACAGGGTTAATGAAATTCTTTAGCTTTGAGAGGGCAACATGAAGGGGAAGGACACAACACCAACACGACATAGGCTAGTGTGACAGGCTGACAGATTTGCGGAATACCAGAATCTTGCATTGGACTAAGAAAATGAAAGCTAATACACATATAAATTAATATTCACAACAGAAACAGCTACACTGCCAGTAGTATGCATTTTAATGTTTGTCGAGATGCAAAAAGATCCTGAAAGCCAGCCTTATTTATACATTCAGGATATCGGCAAAGATTTCAAGGTTAAGCTGGAAGGCAGATCCAATCGTTAGATTCGCTGGTCTGCATACAGACACTTGAATCGATGTCAAGTCAATCACCGAACGAAATTTAAATAATGAACGAATTAATTTAATCTGACAGACTGTTTCCTAAAGAAGAATTCTGAAAGAAAAAGTTCATACTTATCCAAGCAAGAAATGTCTTTTTATTATTCATAAGCCTTTAATGATTTTATTCAGACTGGCGTGGTTTTACGTCTCTCTTTTGATCGTGAATTTTCAAAGTCTGAAATTTATTCCACTATCACGACGACTACTCTTCTTTTTATGTGCTGTATCTATCCATGATGTGCTTGATCACGACTCTCCACATCTCTCTCTCTCTCTCTCTCTCTCTATATATATATATATATATATATATATATATATATATATATATTGTTGCCCATAACAACGTTTGTTCCATCTCCCGTTCATTCATCAACACCATTTTGGAATTATCAAATTCTCCAAGTCTTCCTTTCCCATAATGTATCCAAGAAATCTCAACTTTTTTCTGATTCTAAAACTAAGTATCCTTTTTATTTCCATTTTTCTTAACACTTCCTCGTTGTTTACACGCTACGTCCATGATGTTCACAGTATCTTTCTGTAGAAACACATCTTCGTTATTTCCAGATTCATTTTTCTCTGTGAGAAGATTGTCCAGCACTCACTACCATATAAGAAGATTGATATTACATAAGAGTTCAGCACTCTTTTGTTTCTTTCGTTGTTTCTTAGTACTTTGCTTAGCTTTTGGAATGCATTTTTGCTAATACAATGCTTATTCGGTTTTTGGTGTTATATTGTCCATATTAGTGTCAAAAAATTAAATGTAACAAGACAATAACATTAAAATCTGTAGGGAAAAAGTGACATAAATTTTTATTGTGCCCAGGACTCCTATTGTTCAGACCTGATAAAATATCACGAATTTCATGAATCCTTAAAGAAAACGTTACTAATTACTTGTTAGAAAAGATGGAAGTCATATATTCTCTCTCTCTCTCTCTCTCTCTCTTATATATATATATATACACATACACATATATTCTTTATTATAAAGTATTACATTCGAAGATACGTAAACCGCTACATCAATGCATCCATGTTTAGATGAGACGGTATGATAGGCATCGAAATATGGATGCATTGATGTAGCAGTTTACATATGTTTGAGTGTAATACTTTATAATAAAGAATTATAGCTCTACTATTGTATTGAGCCCTATTCTAAATTAATGTTGTGAACGTTTGGATTGATATTCGATTCGTTCTCTTTGTATAATATATATATATATATATATATATATATATATATATATATATATATACACTTGCTTCTTTATTAAGTCTCCTTGTCACTCTGGTACTTGTTCCTCCATACACCTGCTGAAACTTTTCAAATAAGTGAATCTCTGCTTCTCTTGTCATCGATATGTCCCATGACTCTTACGGAGAATTTTATTGTTTTTCTTCATTGAACATATCAACATATATATTAACAGTACTCCTTCGTTTAAACATGTTTATTAAAGAGAATAAACAAGGAATGTCTGTTAAATTTTTTGGAATGTTTCTCCTGATCTCTAAGAAGTCGTTAGATAACGATTGTAACTTTGTAAAGGAAATTGCCGAAATTGTATGTAATGTTCCAAACACTTTCGACCAGTGTTTATCATTCTCAAGGAAAGAAGCTACAAGTTTGCGGTACAGTGTTTTGAACGTGAATTCACCTTAAGTCTTGATAGAATAGATTATAGCATCAAGTGACTAAAAGGACTTTACTCTTATCTCTAACTGGTTGTAAAATAATATTCCTTGTCATATATCAATTGATTTGGACATGCTTTTCTTCTGAAAAGAACATTTTTGCTTGAATTCTTTTCGTTTGCTTAGTTAAAAAACATAGCATTCCTTGTTATCTTTTCATCGATTTGGACTCGCCTCCTTTTTTAGTCCTCCTCATTATATTACACTGTACTTCAAGAGGTTCTGCAATTGTACCTATTTGAGCTTTGAAATACAAAGTATGAACTTTCGGCCTCAAGATTCTCCAGATATGCCTTCTCATTATTAGTCCCAAAAATGTCAATTGAGTATAATCAACGTTTTAATTGTATTTCCTTTTCTTTCCAAAAATGCCGCATTGTTCCTTAGAACAGCACCTGGTAAGGCCTTATTTGCTGCTTCTTGTTCGATTGCTGTAGATTGATTCAGAAATAATGGCGTGATTGAAACTGACCATGTTGTCGAAAAAATCTCAAATGATGAAAACATTTGAATTAATGATTTTGGTTCATCCATGTACATTATGCAGGAGACGGAACGCCTATTAGAATGTTTGCAATGTGGAAAGCAAATTGTGTCAAATAGTGTTTTCCCTTGTCGAGTTGCTGGACTGACTAACAACAAAAACAGTTCATCTTTTATAGAAATGAAATCCCGTTCTTGTTAGCTTTTTATGAAATGTTACTATTCACAACCCACAGGCCAAATTATTTTGGCCGAGATTAATCAAAGACATGATACAGGTAAGAATATCGTCCCTAAGTGTGCGTTGAGCTGCCACGCTGGCTTAATGTGCATTATCGTATATCACTACAAACTTCTTTGCCAAATGTCCCGTCATTGGCAATCTCAACATTAGTCAGTGTAACAACATCAAGTCTTTTCTTCAGAGAATGAAAAATATTGAAACCTACACAATTTAATGAACATATAAGAAAACTCGATATATTCATTTTTTTTAGTTAATAAATTATTTCTACTTTCTATTTCTTTTCGTTTCGAAACCAAATCAAAGATATTATATAAACACATTTCTATATTTTCAGTCTGTTTATTTCTTAAATAACTTGTCACTTAAAGAACTTTTTATGGATTTAGTTCAAATGTGCCATTGAAGAACAAGGATGATTTCTCACTTTTTCCGCTTTCCCTCTCTTTCTCTATTCCTCTCACCATTTGCTCTTTTGTTCTCTCTCTTTCTCTCTGCTCTTTGCCTCTCTCTCCTCTTTCACTCTCTCTTTCTCTCTCTTTGCTCCTTCCCCCCTCTCTCTCTCTCTCTTTGCTCTTTTCCTCTATCTCTCTATTTGCCCTTTTTCTCTCGCTCTCTTTACTTTTTCCTCTCTCTTTACTCTTTTCTTCTCTCTCTCTTTCTCTTTACTCTTTTCTTCTCTCTCTCTTTCTCTTTTCTTCTCTCTCTCTTTCTCTTTACTCTTTTCTTCTCTCTCTCTTTCTCTTTGCTCTTTTCCTATCTCTCTTTGCTCTTTCTCCCTTTTCTCTTTTCCTCTCTGTTTCTTTCCTCTTTATCTTTCCCTTTCATCTTCCCTCTCGCTTTTTTCAATTTCTCCCTCCCTCTTTTTACATTCCCCCCTCAGCTTTCGTTTTCCCTCTCCCTCTTTTTCCTCTTTGCCTTTCGCTCTTCTTCTTCTTTTGCTCTCTCACTTTCCTCTTTTCCTCTCTCTCTCGCTTTCCTCTATTACTTTTCGTCTCTCACTCTTTGCTCTTTTCTTCTCTCTCTTTACTCTATGCCTCCCTCTTTTTGCTCTTTTCCCCTCTCTCTCTCTCTCTCTCTCTCTCTGTTCTTTCTCCCTTTCCTATTTCTCTCTCTCTCTCTCTTTCCTCGTTCTCTTTACCATTCCCTCTCACTCTTTTCCTTTTCCCTTCCACTCTTCTATCTCTATCCCTCTCAGTGTTATTCATCTTTTCTTCTCACTCTTCTTTCTCCTTTTTCCTTTCTTCCTCTCTCTATCTCTTTCTATCCTCTTTTACTCTCTCTCTCTTCTTTTCCGCTCTTTCCTTTTTCTTCTCTCTCTTTCTTCTTTTTCTCTCTTTCCTCTCTCTCTCCTCTTTTCCTCTTTCTTTTTCTGTTTCTCACTTTCCTTTTTCCCTTTCCCCCTCTTACTTTTCCTCATTCTCTTTCTTCCTCTCACTTTTCCTCATTCCCTTTCTCCCTCTCACTTTTCCTCATTCCCTCACGCTCACTTTTCCTCATTCCCTCGCGCCTACTTTTCCCCATTCCCTCACACTCCCTCCTCCTCATTCCCTCACTCTCTCTCTCACACTTTTCCTCTTTCCCTCTCTCTTTCACACTTTTCCTCTTTCCCTCTCTCTTTCACACTTTTCCTCTTCCCCCCTCTCTCTCTCACTTTTCCTCTTTCCCTCTCTCTCTCACTTTTCCTCTTTCTCTCTCTCTCTCTCACTTTTCCTCTTTCTCTCTCTCTCTCTCACTTTTCCTCTTTCTCTCTCTCTCTCTCACTTTTCCTCTTTCCTTCTCTTCCTGCTTCTCTCTTTTTTCATCTCTTTCTTTTCTCTCTTCTCCTCTGTTTCAACTTCTTTCATTTTCTTTTTCCTCTTTCTTTATTCTTTCTCTTAATCCCTTTCTCTTTCTTTACTTTGGCTGTGAGAACAATCCATAGAATATTCCTTAATCTTGTTTTCATTACAGTTGCTGTTCTGTAACTTTTTTATTTTATATTCTTTAAAGCGAGTATTGTGTCATTTGAGGGTGTATTGTTATTTACTAAGCGCTGTTTAGTTTTGGCACACAGCCCCAGATATAAAGTACCTAGTGAGGATCGAACACGCCACTCAATAATAATGATCACTGAAACTGGTTTAGTAAACATTACTCCACAATGAGGCACTCGATGTGTGTGTAGCGTTGCGAACTACAGTTTGTAGCGGCTGAATATTCAGGCTTTCATTTTACCACAGTCACGTTTCTTCTGAAATTTTAAACCTGCTATGCACAGAATAACATAGAATAAATGAATATGAAATCCTTCAAATCTCGAAAAACCTCTATACTTACATTAAAAATACAGATCCGGCTACATTCTCCTTTTCTTTTTAAAGTCACTTAATACAACAGATCAATGTCGATTCTGCATTCTTGATGAATAATTTAAACGTTTTTGGTTATCTTTTAAAGATTTATTTACAACTCTTGTTTTATGTTCAGACGACAGAAGATTTAAAAACCTTTTATTCTTGTATTCTCGAAGCCTATTTAAATATCAAGACACTAAGAAATAGAAACTCCATTCAGGTTTCAAGAATATTTTATATGTTAAATGCTTGACCTGCGCAGAATGGTTTTCAACGCCTAAATTTTCTTTTGTCAGTCTTTTATTCATTCATTCTAACGCGTTCATTTTCTGATATCTGTCATGTTTTGATTTGATGTGCGGGATTGTTTCCACTGCCGAAATGATACTAGCTGTGACTAAGAGTCAGTTTCCAATCAAGACTGAGGTTTTTAACCAATTACTGAGACTATCTCGTCTTCCAAGAGACACATCCAGCAAACTCATTGATTCTAACATAAAAGGTGAACCAAAATACACGTGACAGACACGTGTCGAATGCCATAGTCTTCGATGCCGCTATGAACTGCATATCAAATTCAAACAGAACCTCCATTGGATGAAATATAAAGTGCTCAAACTCGAATGGCCGTTTCACCGGACAGTATTTTTATGGGAGAGGGCAAAGGTTAATTCCTGTCGTCTAAGATATCCTAAAATGATAGTGTCGAGGATACTTGAGTAGTTATCACCCCTGCTTCTGGGACAACCACTTTAAACTCGGCTTTGAGCCACTTTTCATTCCAGTGGGCATATATGAATAAATATTGTCAGCACTACATGTTTTAAATAGAATACCTAAAAAAAAGTCATTTGGCATTTTGTAAATTCGTCTATCGTAGTGGTCTATACTCAAATATCAAATCGTGCAACTGAATATGGACAATGTTTTATCGATAGTTTCCACTCTTCATACACATTTAAATTAGACCACCACTGCATTTCCTGTAACGTAGATGTCCCTGGTAGATTGGGTATTTGTGTATGGCTTTTCTGATACTTGTTGCCTTTTCTTTCGATTTTCGATTTTTCTATTATGGTCTGCCTCAGGCTGGTCATCAGTTATAATAATGTCTTCGTTGGCTTTCATATGAATGCTTTTGACCATGTTAGGGTTGATTGCAGTCGAGTGAAAATTAAGCAATTGTATCGGCAGACAAAGGTCCAAATCATCGTGAGAGATGATTCCGCACGAAAACAGGGATACATCATTTTAGAAGCAATTTATAATTTTGGCCAGTACTCGGGTTGCTTAATTTTTGCACATGAATTAGTATTTAAGCTGTTTAAATGGTTGCTTAGGTCTTTTATGCTTGGGTCTAATAAATAGAAAAGAAAGACATTCTACTATAATTAAGTTCTATGCTATCAGTTTCTTCGATCGCACTTCTCGCTTGTGGAACTCTCTTCCGGTTTTCTGCATCCCATTCAATTTTGTTCTTCAAAATTTTTAATGCAATGTCACTCATTATCTTCTTAATTCATGTTCTTTTATTGTTCTCTTTCTTCAATAGTTTTTCTTTTCTTTTCTTTTTTTTCATATTCACTTACATTCAGTAACCCCTTGCATCTTAGTGGCTTTATTTAGTGGGATGAAATGATTAAAAACAAAAAGAAACTAGTAGAATTGGTAGATTTGAATATAGTATAAAATATGGTATTTTGTAATTCTTTTTGTTTAATTTTACGTTTTTCTTTCTTTTTAAGCTACTTAAGCCACGCTTGCATCAGTAATGGTGTTGTTCAACTTGTCCAATCTGAGTTCAGTGACTTATAAACGATTTGCTTAAAATATTGACGTTTTCTGCTTTCAGTCTTTTAAACAAGACTCGTAATCCACGGTGATCTGTGATTAGTTCTCCATCTTACAATTGTAGAATGCTTTTAATGAATCATCGTTATTACTGTCTTTATCTACTGCTGTCATAATTCGGTCCTACGCTAAGTAATTGTTGGTTAAGCATATAGTCACAGACAAAAATAAATTTATTCAAAACTGAAAATAGTTGACCCTATTCTTATGCCAAACAACCCACATTAAATACAATATTATCTTGAACAGCCGATGCCATCAGTTCTCGATTCGATGGCACAATCATTTACTGCTGTTTTAATGGTAAGTCTGATCATTTCGATAAACTCAAACTGTCAGCTGATCTCGAAAATGACCTTCAATATTTTTTTTTTTCAGTGACAAGAAATAGTTTGTTAATTTTAATACCTCCAAACTTAAGCTAGTATTTTTAAACGTTTTTGCATGAATTTTAACCTCTTCAAAAAAATTAGCTGTGGATAGAACTACCCCTCCTATTTTTGCGTAAAAAACTGATCTCCACGAGTATATACGGTAGTAAATAATAGACACTCTAAATAACTTGCTGTGTGGATCAGTTAGAACAAATTTAGTATAGGGGATAATAAAATTGAACATAGAATAGGCTGCACTACGGGTAGCTTCCCACAACGCCGCAAAAAACAAAAAAAAAATAATCTAAAAACACGAATCATTTTCTTAAAATTCCTTTGTTAGATAGAGACTTTCATGTCGATGTCATGTATAGTACCACAATCATTCAAAAATATCTTAACTATCAGTTATATATAATAGCTTACTCAGATCAATGGTTAAAAATCTTCGTTTTAATGAAGCTTGTGGGTCTTCGCCAGGACCATCCTCCTTCAAAACTCGTGGACTGGCGCTACAGAATCACAAACTAAATACTATACCAAATAACAGAAACAGCATCACTGGATAACTTTCAATAACAACAGCAACAACTAATATGGATAATGAATGTAAGCCGAAGAGCGAATAATCACATAATCAGAATGTTGACGTTTCACACTACCTCAAAATAAAGGTTAGGATGGAAATTTCCAGCCATGATTGAAATAGCGATAATTGTTAGTGAACTTGAGAAATCTATTTTCCTGAAAAATTGTTTTAAGAGAAAGATTTTATAAATTTCAACCGGCAATAGCACTGGCTGGTCAATGAATGCCTAATGTTTCCTTATAAGGAAACGGCTAATATTACCATTACCATATTAACGACTGACGCAGGTAATTTGGAAAAATACTTTTTTTATATATTAACAGGTCTTTTGTTTATAAATGGTTATTGTGCATTGAAAATTACTGAGTCTGATATCGTACGCAAGTAAAATACCCCTTTGTTGAAACCGAGGCCAGCTGCGGGAGAATAACAGCAAGAGGTAAATTCGTTAGATGGTGGAAGCTCTACGGTAACGCCAACTCAGCTACAACCACCGACCGGGGTTGACCTGAAACTAAGTATCATGAAAAATCATTTTAACTTCTTAAAACATTTCGGGAACATCTAAACGATTTTTTTCTTATATATATATATATATATATATATATATAGGATAGATTCGTATGAATAAAATATGTCTTCTTTGTAAGAAATCAGTTTGTAGATCAGGTTTCATTGACGTATTTTTGTAAAGAGTGTTTTGCCGGTAATTTTATTTTTCAAAAAATGTATTGCTGCTAATATTTTTTTTAAATGCATTGCTGGTATTTTTACTATAAAAACCCTATTTTTACACTTTCACGGAGTTTTAACCCTAGTTTGGGGGTTAACTATTTGCCCATAGCTGGGACCCTAGCGTGTTTTACAAACCCCGATCAGGGTGGACCTGAGAAAAACAGCAATTTAGAGGTAGTCCCAAGACTTCACAAAACCTCCTGATCAGCGTTCTTACTTCCGAATGTAGTTTATCGAAAAACCCGGGATATATCCCATAGTGTCTTCAGCTTAGTGTAGCGAAGGTTGAAATGTGACTCATAGGGTTTTTGAGACCAGGACATTTCTTCTACTTTGGTTTCCGCTCTATGATATTTTCATAAATTTTCGATTTTCTCCACATTTCAACACAATGTCTGTGCTCTTTGACTTTTTCGGTATTTGTTATTGGCGGCCACTATCTTAACCACATAAAATATGCAGAGGACACAGTGTTGATAGCAGACACGAAAAGGAAACTACAGAAGGTAGCGAAGGAAAGCAAGAAGAAAGGACTAAATATACAAGAAGACATAATGCATAGTTGTTAGCAAAAAATGAGCCCAAAATGCAAATAACAAGTCGAAGGCAAGTACAAAAATTTAAATATCTTGGAAATGTTCTGATCAAAATCCGAAGACGCAATGGGATAGCCAAAGTTGCTTTCCAAAAGCTAAGCAGAGTATTAAAAGACAGAAAAACTTCGTTAGAAACAAAGAAAAGACTACTGGACTGTTACATGATATCTGTCCTCATATATAGCAATGGACAATCTCCTTGAAAACGAAGAAGAGACTTGACGCAAGAGAAATGTGGTTCTACATCAAGATACTGAGGATACTGAACTGTGAGTAACGACGAGGTTTTAGAGAAAATGGAAACAAAAAGTAAACTTATACTTAACAACGAGAAGAGATAGTTGAAATTTTTCTACGGCATGTAATGAGGAATGAGTGCTTGGAAAATCTGATACACACATGGCAAATTGAGGGAAAGAGGAAAACAGAACGTAACATACTTG